CCCCCCGCCCCCCCCCCCGCCCCCGCCTCCGCGGCCCCTCACCATGAACTTGAGGGCCTTCTCCTGCAGCACGGCCTCGGCCGGGTCCATAGCCCTGCGCCACCGCCGGGGCCGCGGCCGCCCCTCCTCTCAGTGCCAGGCCGCAGCCAGCGCAGACAGGACCCTGCGCTGCCCCCCGTCCCCCGCTCCACCTCGCCCCGCTGCCCGCACAGCGCATGCGCCGCCCGCAGGCCCACGGGAGATGGAGTCCCCGGCCGCGCTGCCGGCAAGGGCCCGAGCCGCCGGTCAGAACTACAAAGCCCAAAAGGCCTTGGGGCCGGGGGCACGCCGGGAGCCGGCTGGCGCATGCGCTCTCCGCGGGAGAGGGGGCTGACGGGAGTTGTAGTACCGTGGAGGGTGACGGTGTAACTTGCGGGAAGGGGCCGGGGGGCGAGTCCCCGCTCGGGGCGGGGGAAGGAGGGCAGCCCCTCTCCGCAGGGGCCGTGTGGGCCACATCCAGCCCCAGAGCTTCCCCGGTGAGGTGCAAGGCTGGCTCCCAAGTGACAGCCCTGCGCTCTCTTCCATAAGCATCTCGCATGTGGCTAATGGCGGGGTGCTGGGGCGGCTGGCAGCAGGTTCCCCTCGCAGGGGAGGAGGCCTCACCCGCGGCCCAGCGCTTGGCTGCTCTCTTGTTTTGCTCCGATTGCACTCCATGCTTGTGCACTGTCGATTTTCAAATCAATTGTTAGCTGGTACACCATCTAAAACTACTCCCCTGGACGGGCGTACTCCTTTTATGCGTAGAGCGAGCACCGAAAATATCTGGTGACTTTGGAGAGAGAATCAGTATGAAGGGGCCATTGCTGCTCCTTGGCAGGGGATATGAAACGGGGAAACTCGCATCCCTGGAATTGGTCAAGTAGACTTACATCATTCTTGAGGGATGTTTGTTCAAATCGGTCCCATGAAGAAAACTCTTCACGTAAACAGCCTCCTGCGGTGCTTCGGTGCCCTTACACCTAGCTTTTTTTTCTAATAATGATGCTAAATCAATTTTCCCTGAAAATTGGGCCAAGTTGTCCTTGCTGTACCAAGCAGCAAACAAGAAAAGAATTGATCGGCATCCTTTTAATAGCAGCTGAACGTAGACTGGAGGGTATTTACCATATCCCCCTCTTTAATCTTCTGTGTTGCACACCAAACAAGACCAGCTCACTCTTTGGCAGCCATTGGTTCTAATCCTCTCAGTTTTGGTAATTTTATCTAATCTTTTTCCAATTTTCCTACATTTTTTACAGCGTGCCCAAAAGCTGAAGCCACCTCGCATGGAGCATCAGAGAGGAATTACCTCCTGTGTCTTTAGTACTAATTATAAGAGCCTGATAAGTTTTTCCTTTCTCCATAGCAAACATGACGCTGATTCCTATGCAGTTTGTCATCCAGTAAAACATTCAGATTCTTTTCCTTGCTGCATTTATATGACTCTGCATCTTAAGCGAGTTACCCTGAATTTCTTCCTATTTAGATGCAAAGGAGCCAGCCACAAACATCAGCACTTGCTTGCTGACATGCGGCTTAAACCCATCCTTTTTGTTCCTGCGTTTGACCTGTAAAGTGAAGCTTTGAGTCGCAGGTATGAAACCAGCATCTCCTGTGCACCAGCCCCTTCCCTCATTTTCTCTAAACACCCCATCTCCTCCAGATTTTTAAATAAGATCATCAGAGAGAAAACGATGCAGAGAATATGCCCATTACTGGATTCCTTGCAGGGACGTATGACCTGGGTGGTGCCTCATGACCCAGTGCCAGGAGTGTGTCCTCCAGCCAGTGACCCAGCAGAGGTGACGGGAAATGTCAGCCCATGCAGGGTGTGATGCTGGGTTAAGCTACGCTCCCAGAGCAGTGGCTTGAGAGAAGGAGGCAGGGATAACCTTATGTTCTCCCTCTACAATCCCAAGGCATAGAAATCTTCCAAAGAAAGCTTTCAGGTCACCAGGACGTGGGCTGCTATTCTTGGACTGGCCCAGCCACGCTCTTGGTCATCATACTTTAAGCCCAGACTCTTAGCAGTGAAACGCCTGAAATGCTTGGCTGTAATGGGGCTGGGCATTTTCCAGACTGCTGACAGCACTGAAAACACTTACCACAATTATATAAATAACAGTAATTATAATGAGGGAGTCCTATAATTACAAAGGGACGGCTCCTGTAACAGTACTGCAGGCAACCAGGGGCCGCCGGCGCTTGGGGCACAGCTCTCCTGCGTCTCCTTCCTCCGAGCATCCTGCAGTTGGCTGGGATGTAAATGGATCTTCTTCATAGCAGCGTGACTGGCTCAAGGCTTTGATTGCACGGTTTATTTGTCAATAATACCTGATGCTGGCCTAATTGTAGGAAAATTGAAAAGTGTAATGCACTTCAGCACTAGACACCACTGTCCCAAAGCCCTCTAGGCTGATTGATCTGGCTGGACTGTAACTTATAGGGGATTAACGTCGCTGGGTCATAAAAAGCATGAACAAAGCAAAACCAAAACTAGTGAGTGTTTAGGTGCTGGACTTAACATTGATGGAAGAAGAGAGTGGCTCAGTTATTCTGCTATACTGCCATCGGGACCGCACAATGCAGGACGGCTGCAGAGGGGCAGGGCAAGAGTCTCCACCACAGCACAGAAAGACTCCGAGGAAGGACTCGGAGAGGCAGCGCTTGGCCCAGCAGCACTGAGCACGGAGGCAACGCCTCGCCACGTGAACCTCACTTGGATTCCTGCGTCTGCAGCCCAGCCTTGTGGCCTCTTCCCACCACGGGATGCTCACTGCAGCTGGACTGACGGTTCTGCGCCCCCAACCTGCTCTGTCCGCTGCGGCCCAGAGCAGGAGAATGGTCAGGACACCAAGCTGTGACACCCAGCAGATCCCTGCTACAGCCCTGTGCTATCAGTGTGTCACATCACACAGCAGGAGGAGAGGCGTTGGAGAGGTCTGTGGTGTATAAGGCAGAAGGCAGGCACACTTCGAGTTCAGCAGTTTTACAACCAATTAAATAATGATTTGTTTGGATTGCAGGAACCAAGAGCCGGACACGTGCGGTCAGTGCTGTCTCTACCACAGTAGAGCTGCCTGACGAGCTTCTCTTACTTTCCCCTTGAAACAGCAATCATATACCCTGCTTTCTGCCCTCCACACCCTCACTGCAGAGCATGTTGCATGAAGCGAGCCATATAGCGCACAGGGAGCTCACCATCCTTCCAGATGAAGGATGCTACCTAACAGTAAAGATATTACTGTGATTATTTTTGCAATAGCATATTGCTCTGTGCATTCTGGACTCTGCGGACCACATCCACGCCTGGTGTAACGCCATGTTAATTTGCTGTGGCAATCATTAATTGGGTAAGGAACAGCTGGTGCTTTGCTTTAAGTGAAGCTGATTGGGTCAGTAAGTAACTGTTTGGTTAAGTGATCTACAGCAGGTACAGCCCTACCTCTCTCTGTGCTCCAGAGGGGTTTCACTTCTTGTCCCAGTGACCCTTGGAGGAAGCAGCAAGATTTGGCCATGAAACATTAGGGAGCTTTAATCAGTGCAGTTCCTTTGGGCATTATTGCCTGAATTTTAATATTTTGAATAATAAAGGATGATTTTAAATTAAATTTGTGGGCTTGCCATCTGTGTGTGCTTGGCCTTGTTTTCCTCTGCTTTGGCAGTCCCTTGACTTCATTCTTTCCAAGTTGCAGCAAAAAGGAAGGGAAGAGAAAAGAGGGGAGAGCACCAGTGGAGGATCCCTTTGTTGTCCCCTTTATCCCGCAAGATCTTGGCAGCAGCAGCCGCCTTTGTTGTGGGTGTGTTTCACAGTACTGAGCACACAGACAACGTTTGATAGCATAAGAGCTCGTGAGAGGGAGACAGGGACCCCTGCACCCAGAGACGTCCCAGCAGTTCAGCTCAGCCTCTCCATCCCAGCTCGTCCGTGACGGTGGTGCGCTTCGCACAGGGCGCTGGCGTCTCGGCCAAAGGGGCTTGGTGTGCAGTGGCCTGGGGGATCCGGGAGCAGGATGGCTCCCTGCAGCCTGTGGGCAAAGGAGCTTTTTTAGGACAAAGGAACATTGCCACTCAGTTGTGCAAGAGCAAAAGAAGAGAGTCCAAGACCACGTAGTATGAATTACATTCACTGTATGCCTGGAGCAGGACAGTACCGATTACCTGGTACTAAGATGTGCAAGGCTGCGCACGTGGAGGGGATGACCAGAGAGAGAGGGGCATCTGCAGAGAAACCAGAACAGTCAGGCTACGGATTGCCATTGCAGGTTGAGTTGAATTTATCCCTTGTGCTGCTGAAAAGGGGAGCCGCATTCCCTCTCCTGTCTCTGCCAGCCACATGCTTCCTCCTCTCACCTTGTGGCAGCTCTGACGCTTGTTTGCTAGCATGGTGATCTGTTTTAATTCACTATAGTGGCAGAAAAATAATAATCATGAAATACAAACTAAACACTTCTTTGTTGGCAAGTCAAACTGGCTTTTCTTGTGATCAGACAAATGGCAGAGCTACTGCGAGGGAGGGTGGGAATTGCACTCCAGGGCAGGGGAAGGTAGGATGAGACTGGTCCCTCTCAGTGACTGGGAGCTGCTAATTCAGCAGATACCAGGTGAAAAACCTCTTGTCTTCACGCTGTCAGGGTCCCTTGACCCTCCCGGGGGTTGAGAGCCCTCCCTGCTCGCATAGCATTGTCGCTGCCACGGGAGGCTCTGGATGGCCAAGGCAGAGAGTGGGAGGATGTCTCAGGAAGGCCAGATCCTGGGAGTTTGGGATCCTCACAGGGATACTGAGCAGGGAATCCTGAGCTCATTTCCCATCTTACCACTGGGGCTGCATGGTGCTGGTTCCCCCCTGGATTCTCTTGGCCACCAGGAAGCCGGAGTTGCTGAAGCCCTGGTCCCAGTCCTCTCCGTAGACTCTGTGGGTACTTTGTGTAAAATATGGATTAGAAGAAATCAGGGTGACAGGAATGTTCTTGAACAGGGGCTATAGCCCTTGTCAGCAGCCTTCCCAGTTTCCCTCCCAACCTTGCTGGAGGCCCCAGTGTTGAGCACTGGGCTGCCTTGCAGGACTGGGCACATACAGAAACACACACCTCCAC